TGTGTGTGTGTGTGTGTGTGTGTGTGTGTGTGTGTGTGTGTGTGTGTGTGTTATTCATGCATAATAGATGGGATCCACCTGGCAACTGGACTAAACTGTGTTCACCATGCTCTAAAGTCCTTTGAGGGCCAGGATTTGGTTTTAGGGTTAGTCTGATGTATAGAGGAGTGGTTATTAACCCTCCTGTTGACCCAAGGACAGCAGGAGGGTTAAAGTTCAGCATTAAGGGGGGCTGTCCATAATCAGGTGTTTTTGAGCCATGAGCTCAACCCCAAACCCCTTTTTCTATTAAGCCTATGTGAGCTGCTGCATGTTTGCTCATTACTTTCCAAGAATTTCAACAATCTAAGTGATGCATGTTGTTAAATAAAGCGTAGTCTATTACCTACGCTTGGTGGGCTGCTGGAAATGTCAACCTGGCCTCGTGTTTTTCTGTTTCCAAARTGTCTTTGTGGGTTTATCTCTCGAACAAAAGATGGCTTTTGAGGGGCGGGGGAATCAGTGGTGGACAAAAGAGGATTTCCGGTACAAGCAAAGAATGACCCAAACTGACACAAACACAGATCTGGTCTGACGCAGACACACCAACCGGATGAAACCTAAAAAAAAAAAGAGCCCTGGAAGCCAGCAGTATGTTGTACAGACRTAGCTACTGTTCCAGAATGCCACCTCTAAGAAAATAATCTTTTACGAGCAGCACTGAGGTTTTTCAAATCTCTGGACTTGACTGATGTTTCCAAAAATGYAGCCTGAAATCAGAGCTGGTTACGTGATCCACGGAGCACCTACCTGACTCTGACACCCAACACTTTTAATTAAAACTGATACAAAATACATCTGAGCTGCCTGGGAGGGTGTAGACATGTTTTACACAGCAGAACGGTAACACAATAGTCTTAAAAATGTCTTTTAGCGTTTACAGGCCGGATATGATTTTTAAACCGAAACAACRCAAACTTTGAATAATCACTTAGCGTTTGTTTTTTATGTTTGTGTGGTTTTGTTCAGGCACAGACTAATTACTGCACGGGTCGACCTAGACACACATGACAAATTAATTGCACTCTTTAACTCAAGTCAGCCTCTGYTTCTTGTCAACCATACAATTTTAATGTTGGCCTCAACGACAAGTCGTATAGAAGGGACAAAAACAACTTAATTGCAAAGCAGGAGCCTGTGTACCTGTCACAAGTTACAGCACCGTGATCATTTGTTGTCTTAAATGTGGCTGTGGGGTTGATTCAGAAGCTACTTCTCATAAACTCTGAAAAACTTTGCTCATTATGCTTCAATTTCCGTGACAGTTWTTGTTTCACTAACCCTGAGGATTTAGAAAATTACGTACAAAAAAATACATAAATCAAAACGTGTGGCTCTGTTAGGAATGGTGTGCTTGGACTTGTGGTAGCAGTATGTACGGTAATATGGCTTAGACAAGATTTAAAAATAAGAAAGGAAAAGATTTTCCACATTGACCATTGGATTTTAGCAAMCCCAGCTTTCTTTGGACCTCAGACGTATGTATGATGCTGCAAGACAGATGGGAAAAAACTGATATAAACARCTGTAATGTTATTTTAGTTTCTGCTACATCATAGTTTATGAAAAGTTTGGTATCTCCTGCATGGACACAGCGAAAACAAAGATTTTATAAAACATTGCACAAAAAGTTATTTTCTGTTTGGCTTATTTCTTTGTAGCGATTCTTCTTGGCAACAAGTCTTACTGTTGGAAAGCCTGTTAGGTGGAAAGGACAAACAAATTCACATTAAAAAAAACCTAACCTAACTTTTAAAATAACAAARCTCACCTCCACAAAGCACGGTTGGTTAGAGACTACTTCCAGAATTTGGCAGTGAAGAGGATAGGTTAGCCAGCCTGCAGGCCTGTGGGAGTTTGGGCCTGCTGTTTGTTCCAGAGTGACCAACACAAACCCACTGGTGCTGGTTAAAGGCCACTGAAGGGTCCATCTGACCCTGTGAAATGTCATCTAGTTCTCAGCTTCATGTCTACTGCCCTTTAAGCACTTGGACAGCAATGCTGGCATTTTGCTTTAACTACTYCACTTCCAGAGGCTGGCAGTTGGACCTGCAAACAGACTATTAAAATGCAGTCAAATGGTCAAACACTTCTGGATGGAGATAAAACAGATACTGTGCACGAAATAATCTGTTTGCCAAAAAGTGTGGTACTGTAGCAAATACAGATTTGCGGATATCCGAGTGGAGACTGAAGCAGGATGGAACCCATTCTGTGACGTGTGCAGCCGTGGGAGAGGAGCTCTGCATCATGTGTCGCGAGCTATGAAAGGTGTGTGCGACAACAAACTTCCGGCCACCACGTGACCGCACTTTGATTAGTCGGCTGCCAATCGACTGTGCTGGGTGCGTGATCAAGTGGATGAGCAAAATGAAGAGAAGATACCGAGCTGCTGAGGCTGTGTATGGTTCTTCCACATTCTACTGTGGCCCCGTTTGTTAAAGGGATCCCTGATTAGTTGTAACATTAGACTTTATTTGATAAGCATATATTTTAACTGTAAAATAAAGACTGTAGAAATACTGTAGGCTGTTTAGTTTTGTATATTTTTAAAAATAAATTTTAACATGGACGGAGCTATTTTATTTTCATACAAAGCATTCTGGGTAAATGATGTGGATAGGTCCTCGGTGTGAGCGAGCTATTTCCACCCTGAAGGTTAATCTTGGACAATATCTGACGATTGACTCTTTTAAATGAAACCAGAGAGCGTTGACAGAGAGGAGAAGGTAGAAATGACTCAGCCTGTAACTGAAAATATAGATGGAGGACAACAGAGCTGCTTCATGGAAGAACCTCAGGTTAGCCTGTTAGCCTTCGTGCTAGTCCTATTGCCTTATATGTATTAGCTGGGTGCTAGCGTGACAAACAAGCTAAACTGCGGTCCTCCATCCATATTTTCAGTTACAGGCTGAGTCATTTCTACCTTCTCCTCTCTGTCAACGCTCTCTGGTTTCATTTAAAAGAGTCAATCGTCAGGTATTGTCCAAGATTAACCTTCAGGGTGGATATAGCTCGCTCAAACCGAGGACCTATCCACATCTTTTACCCAGAATGCTTTG